AGTAAAGGGCAATCAGTAGACATGGAACATATTTGGGCTCCATTTCCCAAGTCTCTTCTTACAAGTTGTCTCCTTAGGGATCTCTTGTAATTTACTCTCCTCCTCCCAAGATGCCCTTGGTGCCCCCCATGGGCTTCTAAATTGTGTATCTCAGACCTTGCTGTGGACATGAACCACCTGAACTCCTTATTACATGCAGACACTGGCTCAGCTGACCTGAAGTGACACTTGCTTATGAGGAACGAGGTTCTAGGCTTCAGTGGGACCAATGCAGTTATACACCCCTTATGAATTACTGAATTCACCAAGGAACAGCTGGTGCCTTACTGGGCTCTACATCCCCAGTAGTAATAGTGGATGATCAAGGATGGCAGAGAAAAGAGAAACAGGCCTCCCTTTCTAGAACCAGGGAGTCTGTGCCAAGTCCAGGCTGAGGCTCAGATGCAATACAGCAGTAGAAGACACCTTAGAGAGATGTGCCTTACAGAGACAGAGAGAGCCATGTAAGGGGGAGAAGGGGGAGGTGGAGAGCTGGACTGCAGCAGAGAGAACGTTTCCACACCTCAGACAGCCCGAGGAGTCTTTCCTTCACGCCTCTCCAGCCCTCCTCCTTTTCTCTTTCCACTCATCTTTTTCTGTCTCTGCTTCAGGCTGGCTTCTTTGGATTTTACTAGAGAAATCCTTGCTTCTTGAATAGCCGTGTTCTTTTCCCTTCCCAGTTCCACTCCTCTCTACCTATTCAACTCTCCATTTATTATCCATCATCTATCATCTATCCATCCACTGATCCATACATTCTCGGTGTCTTCCTGCAGGTCATTCAAATACTACTGCCTCTGCCATGATTCCAACTTGGGCAAGAACCAAAGCTCCCCCGTTTAATACCACAAAGGACCTGAGCACTCTCTTTGCCAGGTGTGTGTGTGTGTGTGTGTGTGTGTGTGTGTGTGTGTGTGTGTGTGTGTGTGTGTGTAAAACCATAACCCAAGGCATCTGCTATTGTTCCCTCTTCAGATCCTGAAGTCACATTCTTCAATATGACAGGTGTTACCATTATGTTTTCAGGCTACTAGGCTCCTTGTTTAAATACTTTGGTCCCCAGCCCATGTGCTGAGAGGATATGGGAGTGAAGATGGGGTTAGGTGGAGCAAGAGAAGACTCAAGTCCCCTCAGTCTGTGAAGAATTTTCCTGAGAGGTTATAAGTGATGACTGACTGAGAAAAGGCTCCTGTTATCCCCATCTTATCCTGTCCTCCCCAGTTCATCCTGTCCTCCACAGCTCATCCAGTAATCTCTAGCTCACCCCATCTTCCCCATCTCATTGTCATCCTCCCCAGCTCATCCTCTCCTCCATAGCTCTCGCCATCCTCCCCATATCACCTTCTACTTTCTTTCACACCTGGGTATCAAGAGGAGAGAAATGGTGTTTTAGTGGCTAATAATCCGATCAACACAGGAGTGGGATAGTGTAGTGAAATACTCTCAGTGAGTCTGGGTTTTCATGGCAGAAACATTGTGTTACTTCATACAAGTCGGGAACCTCTGTAGTATAGGGATACTGGCAGTCAGAGCTGGAAAGTGATCAAGCCACAGGTTTGGTTTGGTTTGGTTTGGTTTGATAAGATCTCACTGTGTAGCTTTAGCTAGCCTGAAGCACTATTTTGATCAGGCTGACTGAAAACTCAACAGAGATCCATCCACCTGCCTCTGCTTCCCAAAAGTGAGATAAAAGGCATGCACCTTCATGCATGACTAGGCTCTCAACTCTGCAATTTTAGAGATGACTCCAATTTTTGACTTTGCTTTTTTTTTTTTTTGCTTTGCTTTAATTCCTTAAATTGTTTTCATTTTTGCTTGGGTTTAACACTGGTGTGAGAACCCAACTTTACACTGATGGGGTGTCAATTTCTGCCATAATTCTCAGCAGTTCTGATGTTGTGTTTAGCAATGCTGAGTAGGGGGCCTTACCCGTGATGTGTAGATGTTTTACCTCCAAGCTACATCTCCAGCCGCTGCTCTCAGGATACTAGAGTACGATTTTCAGGTTTCTAACAGACTTGTGTGAGTCAGCCTCCATCTCTATATTCCTTTTGTCCCTGTGTCCTACCATGTAGAACACCGTGTCCCCATCTGCCCAGGTCATGTGAGCTCTCTCTCTCTCTCTCTCTCTCTCTCTCTCTCTCTCTCTCTTTCTCTCTCTATCTCTGCATATATATATACATATACATATATGTATATATGTATGTATATACATATATATGTGTATATATACATATATATATCCTCGGTGAACCTATTTCTTATGTGTACTGCTTTCTACCTGGAACTTGGAGAACCGTTTTACTAAAATAATGACAACTCTCAATGGGGTTTTCAGTAAGCTTGGATTCTTCTTGGTTTCTGGGTGGGGACAATGAAGACTAAAGTAGGACAACTGTCCCCAGTAGCAGGTGAGAATGGGGACAACAGGGAACATGTTCCCTATATGTGGACCTGTTGCTATTCCACACAGAAAGCCAAGATTCCCAGGTGAACTCCTTCTTATGCATCTCCTGGACCCGAACCCTAGAATCTCCTGTAAACACATTTCTAATTTGTTATTTTAGGAAGAGATCATATAAACTGCATTTAAACTTTCTCACAGGCTGAAGGAAAGCTGCAGAGAAGACCTAAGTTGGAAAGATTGGATGAGGAGGTGTTTCCCAGACTCGGCAGTGTGGTTGGTCATTGATCAACCTTTAATCTCTTCTCTCCGCAGGGTCTCCATATCCAACATGGTTGTTCTCATAGTCTGTGGACTCCTCAGTAAGACCCTTATCTCCACTGTCTTGTTTGCTGTCACATGGAGGTCATTTGGAGGACAGACAATGATGACACACAACAGTGACTTATGATTTTCAGCCATGTCTATCTCACAGGAGGAGCTGGGTGTGGGTGGGGCTGAGGAGAGCCTGTGACATGAATTAAGCCTGTATTCATGGGTGACATCTAAGGCTTAGAATGTCCCCTGCTGCCCCTGCCCTTTATCCACAGTCCATCCATCATCTTGGGTATGTGCTCTGCACTGTCAGAAGACAGGAACCATTGCCCAGCACCTCTAGCCATTCTGCCTGAGTAGATGTGTTGGCCTGAAATAAGACAACCCTGTGCTCCTCCCTGCCACCTTTCATGGGAGACGTGAGCTTTAGGGGCAACCACTGCTATTCCTGCCCCTTCTCCTTGCCTTAGGCAGTGCAAATCTAGCACCTGGGCAGGCCCTTGCTTATTAAGCAGCCTGCTCTCCCAGCATCTGGGGTCTTCCTCTCTGGGAATCAGACACTCAGATTTGTCTTCCTTTGTGGTCCTCTGAACACTCACAACCATGGACCAAGAAGACAAGCTCCCTTCTTGAGGATTATGCAACAGGAAAAGAGAAATCAAGTTAAACTGGATGCTGTTGTCTGGGAAACTCTTGGAGGCAGAGATGGCATCCATGGATGGGATCAGTACATGCATCAACATACTATGTGCATTTTGTCATTGAATCTTCAGTGCAATCCATGAGAGTCAGTATGTGTGTGACCAGAGGGAGGCCAAAGGAATAGCAGGGCACCACCTTCTGGTGGGAATGAAGTCTAGAGAGTTCCCTTGCTGAAGATCTCCTCAGTTGAGATTCCCTACTCCCAGATATGCCTGGGTTTATGTCAAGTTGATGAAAAGCAACATACACATGGAACAAGTCTTTGATTTGTGTGCTTTTATCTTTTCTTTTTGTAGGTTTATTTACTTTATTATGTGTAAGGTGTTTTATATACACTATGTGTATGTTTAGTACCCCTGAAGATGGTGCCAGAGAGTGATGTGAGTTATTTGTACACTCTGTGAACGTGTATTACTTTGCTGTGATTAATATAATAAAAAGCTTAATAACCAATAAGTAGGCAGGAGGTATAAACAGAACTTCCAAGCAAATAGAAAAAGAAAGGTGGTTGTTTGGGGTTTTGTTTTGGGTTGTTTTTATACTTTTACTCTCTGGGGACCTGCTATCTAGCTCCCAAATAATCATACAGATGCTATTCCTACTTATGTTGCCAGATCTCAACTTGGCATGTTTCTTTCCAGGTTTCTTAAATCATGCCATATATATTTTGCCTCGGGGCTTTAACCATTTTCTTGTCTGTATATCTTTTCTTTCTCTCTTATTCTTTGTCTTGCTGTGTTGCTAGGTAAGTGACCTCTTTATTTGTCCTCTCCTCTTTTTCTCATTCCTTCTTTTTCTTTTTCTCCTTCTATTTATTCTCTCTGCCTGGCATTCCCATCTGTACCTTTCCTGACTAGCTATTAAGCTCTTTATTAGACCAAACTAGTGTTTTAGGCAGCTTCACAGAGTTAAACAAATGCAACATAAAAGAATGCAACACATCTTTGGATCATTTAAACAAATATTTCACAGTACAAACAAATGCAACACATCTTCACCTAATATTCCGTAAGAAAGGAGAGTTGAGGGGCATGGAAGATTCTAAAGAGACACAGAGAGGAAATACAAGGTGTAAGATGGGAGAGAAGTAATGCCACATTATAAAATGTAGATTAGTATCAATGAGTTAATTTAAATTATAGGAGGTAGATGAGACAATTGTAACTTGAGGTTAAAGAAAACTGGGGATTGTGGGTGGGGCTGAGGAGAACTGAGCACATTCTTACTTCACTATGGTTCCTTCCTGGTCTTTCTCAGAATTTCTCACTCCGGCCTTTAAGGCAGGATATTACAGCATCTCTGCGACCATTTTTCTAGTTCAGTTCAGAAGCTTCAACACAAAGCCTGTGCTGGAGGAGCCACAGGGCCTCACAGGCCTTGCTCAGCTTCCCTCTTGTCCTCGGAGGTCCCGGCTTCCTCAGCAGTTCACACTGCATTGGCTGTGGGAGCTGCCTGGACCCTGCCCTGCCCTGGTCTCCTCTCCTCAGAGCATCCCTCCCTCCTTCCCTGTTTGCTCCCCTATAGCTCGAGAAGAGGACCCATGGCCTGGGAGGACACATACCTGCTATCCCCCATCCTGGTGGTGCTCCTGGGCTCAGGTGAGGACAGGGGACAAAGATAGAGGAAAGGAACCAGGAAGGGGAGAGGGAAGTGGTTGGAAGGTGTGAAAAACGGGGCCCTAATGCTGGGAAGGCAGAACACATGGTGTGTTGTAATGAGCAGCCAGCTCTAAGCCACACTATGTGCATAGACACAAAGAGGTCACTCCCTTAGAAGGGAGGCATCTCCTAGCCCTGCTGTGAAAACTGGGGAATTCTTTGACCTGAAGGGTGTGTGTTTTCCCAGGCTTTTGCACAGAGGATGAAAAGTTATTTCAAGCAGTGGAGGGCCAGACCTTTTCTGTGAAATGCCAGTATTATCACAGCGACCACATCAACGGGAAGGTGTGGTGTCAGAAAACATCAACAGAACGTTGTAAAGTGTTAGTGTCCAGTCTCAGCACAGATACTCGGCGGCGAAAATTCTCCATCCGGGACCATCCTGACTCTCTCTTCTTCACTGTCACCATGACTGCACTCACGGTGAGAGACTCAGGTCTCTATTTCTGTGGGATTCAAGAAAATGACAGAGCAGTGGCTGTTCTCAGAAGGTTCCGCCTGGTGGTTTCAAGAGGTGAGCTTCCCCCTTCTATGTAGCCCTCAGCTTTCCTGATCACCAGGCTCCAGAGTTGGAGAGGAATCTAGAAACTGTGTCTTCTAATAGCTAGGAACTGGGGCACAGGGAAGAACTCCCCAAGGCCACCTGTTGGTTCAGGGCAGAGCCAACCCTAGAACCCAGGTTTGCTGACCTCTGGGCAGTTTTTACCAGTTACTCTAAACACTTCTGCTGCTGCTGCTAACACAACTCTGTTTATGGAGGGATCTTGTTGTTCCCTCCAGGTGGCACAGCTGCCCACTCCCAAACATCCCTTGCTGCCATTTTGTCAGAAACCTTCTCTCCAGGGGTGGCAGGCTCCATCACATGAGAGCCCTCAGAGCAAATGGAGAAGGCACTGAGAATGTGGACCAAGAGGAGACAGCTACACAGAGAGGCACACAAAGGGCTTAGTGGGGAAGGCTGGGAGATGCGATCCTTGTCCAGGATCTGCTCTTGATGACTGAGAACCTCTGAGCTCTGGGAAGTTGACCCAGAGGCTGCTGCTAGTGGCCTGAGTTTCCTGTGTATCTCATGCAGAAGACTGCAGTGGCGGAAGGCTCTGAATCAGTCTGTCATGTTCATGGGCTCACAGTGTGAACAGCTCCTCCCAGGGCTTTCTCTGCTGCAGAGCATGTCCAGCCCTTTGGTTATAGGGGGGCCTGGTGGTTATTTTAGGAAAACTTTGACCCAGACACACCCTATGGAAGAAAGGCATTAGGTGTGACCTTTATATGTTCAGACACAGTGGACACAGGAGTGGGGAGATGGCTCAGTCAGTAAAGTGCTTGCCCTGTGTGGTTGTAGTCGTTAATATGGCAGAACCTAGAATCACCGGGGAGACAGGCATCTGGCCTCAGTTGTGAGGGACTATCTTAGCTAGAGCTGGGAAGACCCATTCTAAAAGTGAGCGGCACCATTCCCTAAGCTTGAGGTCCCAGTCTTAGTATAAAAGGGGAAGTGAGCCTGGAACATTCACTGGTCTCTACTGCCTGACTGCGGATGCCCTGCAACCAGCTGCTTCATGCTCCTGTTGTCTTGAGTTCCCTGCTATGATGGACTGCACCCTCAAATCTTCTTGTTGTCTTTGTTGTTGATGTTTTATTGAGCAATACATTTTTCTCTGCTCCCCTTCCTTCCTCTCCCCTCCCCTTCTATCCTCTTCCATGCTCTTCATACTCCCAATTTACTCAGGAGATCTTGTCTTTTTCTACTTTCCATGTAGATTATTAGATTTATCTGTTTCTCTTAGGGTCCTCATTGTTGTCCAGGTTCTCTAGGATTGTGAATTGTGGGCTGGTTTTCTTTTTATGTCTAAATGCCACTTATGAATGAGGACACATGATATTCATCCTTCTGGTCTGGGTTACCTCACTCAAAATGATATTTTCTAGATCCATCCATTTGCCTGCAAATTTCAAGATGTCATCATTTTTTTCTGCTGTGTAGTACTTCACTGTGTAAATTTACCACATTTTCCTTATCCATTCTATGGCTGAGAGCATCTAGGTAGTTTCCAGGTTCTGGCTATGATAAAGAAAGCTGCTGTGAACATAGTTGAGCACATGTCCTTGTGGCACTATTGAGCATCCTTTGGATATATACCCAAAAGTGGTATTATTGGGTCTTGAGGAAGGTTGTTTCCTAATTTTCTGAGAATTTGCCACACTGACATCCAGGGGAGTTGTGCCAGCTTGCATTCCCACCAGCAATGCAGAAGTGCTCCCTTTTGCCCACATCCTCATCAGTGTTGTTGATCTTGGCCATTCTTACAGGTGTAAGATGGAATCTCAGAGTTGTTTTGATTTACATTTCTCTGATGACTAAGGATGTTGAACATTTGCTTAAGTGTCTTTCAGCCATTTTAGATTCCTCTGTTGAGCGTTCTCTGTTTAGGTCTATACCTCATTTTTTTATTGAACTAATTTTTCTTTTGATGACAAATTTCTTGAGTTCTTTGTATATTTTGGAGATCAGCCCTCTATCTTTTGTTGGGTTGAAGAAGATATTTCCCAGTCTGTAGGCTGTCATTTTCTTTGATTAGGACTCTTTCTGCTGAGCCTTTGATCTGTTCTCGCAGAGGTCTCTGGTTCCAGCCTACTCCCTTAGCTAATGCTCCCTTGTACCTACTGCTGTGGAGTTTGCTGTCTCAGACCTGCTCCAGCCTAGGTCACAGGTTCAGTCAATGTCCACATTTCTGTAAATGTCCCTAGTCTGGCTCCACTACTGGCCTGGCCTTGGTGCTACAAATGCTTCTCAGGATTTTTAGGAAAAGCATTTATTACAGAGCTCAGCTGACATTTCAGGCTGCAGAGCACAAGCTATGAGAGGGGAGAGGGAGCTGTGTCAGGTGAGGATGCATTGGAGCCCATGGTTTCTAGAAGCCTGGCTTTCTCCCAGAATCTTCATCTGAGGTCCAGTGCAGCACAATGGTAAGTGGGGTCCTATCTATGAATTCCCCTTGGGTAACAGGGCTCAGTAAAGGGCAAAAAGTAGAATTGGAGCATAGTTGCTTTCCATTTCCCAAATCCCTACTTAGGAGTCATGTTCTTAGGAATCTCCTGCAATCTACTCTCCTCCTCCCAAGATGCCCTTGGTGCCTCCCATGGGGTTCTAAACTGTTTATCTCAGATCTTGCTGTGGGCATGAACCACATGAACTCCTTATTTTATGTAGACCCTGGCTCAGCTGACCTGAAGTGACACTTGCTTGTGAGGAACAAGTGTCTAGACTTACTTAAGTACTGACAAATGCACTTACACACCCCCTATGGATTTCTGAATTCACTGAGGAACAGCTATAACATGAATGGGTCTGCTTGTTGGGGTTTCTGTCCCGCCCGGTACCCCACAGCTGGCAAGTCCCAAAGAAAATCACACAGAGATCTCTGTAAGTTATAAAACTGATTGGCCCATAGTTCATTCTTCTTATTTTCTCTTGTAGCTTATATTAACACATTATTCTTATCGATGTTAGCCACATGGCTCCATACCTTTCACAGCCAGGTAGATTACATCCTGCCTCTTCAGTGGTCTGCACAGGAGTGAGGGAAGAGCTTCCCTCTTCCCAGAATACTCCTCTTCTCATCACCCCACCTCAACTTCCTGTGTGGTTGACCTGCCTATACTTCCATCCTGGCCAATCAGCGTTTATTCAAAATATGATTGACAGAATACAGACAATTCTCCTGCACCAAACAGCTGATACCTTGCTGGGCTCTACATCCCGAGTAGTAATAGTGGATGATCAAGGATGGCAGAGAAAAGAGAAACAGGCCTCCCTTCCTAGAGCCAGGGAGTCAGTGCCAAGCCCAAGCTGAGGCTCACATGCAATACAACAGTAAAGGACACCTTAGAGAGATGTGACTTACAGAGACAGAGAGAGCCATGTAAGGGGAACAAGGGGGAGGTGGAGAGCTGGACTGCAGCAGAGGAGAATGTTTCCATAGCTCAGACAGCCCAAGGAGTGTTTCATTCACATCTCTCCAGCCCCCCTCCTTTTTTCCTTCCACTCATTTTTTTTTGTCTCATCTTTGGGCTGGCTCATTTTGATTTAATAACAGAAAACCTTGCTTCATGAGAAGCCATGATCTTTTCCCTCCCCAGATCACTTATCTCTACGTACTTAAATATCCATTGATTATCCATCCATCTAGCATCTATCCATGAACTTATCCATACATTCTCGGTGTCTTCCTGCAGGTCATCAAAGTACTACTGCCTCTGCCATGATCCCGACTAGGAAAAGGACCAAGACTCCCCCCTTCATTACCACAATTGCCAGGTGTGTGTGTGTGTGTGTGTGTGTTTGTGTAACTGTGTGTGTAACAATAACCCAAGATAGCTGCTGTTGTTCCCTCTTCAGATGCTAAAGTCACATTCTTCAATATGACAAGTGTTACCATTACATTTTCAGGCTACTGGGCTCCTTGTTTGAATACTTTGGTCCCCAGTCCATGTGCTGCGAGGATATGGGGATGAAGACGGGCTTAGGTAGAACAGGGTCAGACTCAAGTCACCTCAGTCTGTGAAGGATTTCTCTGAGAAATTAGAAGTGAAGACTGAGAAGAGGTTCCCATGCTCCCCAGTTCATCCCGTCCTCCCAATCTCATCCCATCCTCCCCAGGTCACCCCATCCTCCCCATCTCACCTTCTAATTTCTTTCACACCTGGGTACTAATAGAAGGAAAATGGTATCTTAAATGGCTAAAAGTCCAGCCAAACAGAAAGTGGGATAGTGTAGTGAAATACTCTCAGTGAGTCTGGGTTCTCATGGCAGGCACATTGTGTGACTTCATGCAAGTCAGGAACCTCTGTAGTGTAGGGTTACTGGCAGTCAGAGCTGAAAAGTGAACAAGTCACAGATATGGTTTGGTTTGATAAGATCTCACTATGTAGCCTTGGCTGAGCTGGAACTCTATGTTGATCAGGCTGACTGAAAACTCAACTGATATCCATCCACCTGCCTCTTAAAGGCATGCACCCTCATGCCTGAGTAGCCTCACAACTCCTGAAATTTTCGAATTGCTCCAGTTTTTGCCTTTTCTTTTGTTTTGGTTGATTTACTTCCTTAATTTGTTTTTTGCTTGGGTTCAACACTGGTGGGAGAACCCAACTCTACATTGATGGGGTGTCAATTTCTGCCATGATTCTCAGCAGTTCTGCTGTTGTTTTTAGCAATGCTGAGCATGGAAAAGGGTGCCTTGCCATTGCTGTGTAGGTATTTTACCTCCGAGTTACATCTCCAGCTGCTGGTCTCAGGATACTAGAGTAAAATGTTCATGATTCTAACAGGCATTTGTGCGAGTCAGCTTCCATCTCTATATTCCTTTTGTCCCTGTGTAGAGCACTTTGTCCCCACCTATCGGCCCAGGTCAGGCAGAGGTTGT